CCCCCCATCGGCCCCTGGACTGCATCTGAATTAGAACTTGGGTCTGATTCATATTTCAACAGTTCGTGGGTGTACGAACTGAGCTATAGGCCAGTTGGTGATGACGTACATTACCTGCAGAGGGTGGGTAGTTTCTGGCCGGTCTGTCGTTTTCTGGTTGTAGGCCTCGTTCGGCAAATTACGTGCTGGCTCCAGAGTGTGTAGCACTGTGTACTGATACTTGAACCTTCTGTATGTATCTGACTGCAATTGCGGCCAGCCCTGGGTGTAGATGACCGCAATTACGTGCATAGCTGAGTAGAAAAGGTTTGGGTCAGTTTCGTGGTAGCGAGGGGTATGGAGGTAAGAATTCAAAACTCCTAAGGACATATACATATACTCTCACAATACCCCTCGCAACCACGAAACTGACCCAAATGTCGCGCTGCTGTGCTAAGAGGGTCGCTTAGCGTCCAATAATGTTATTTTCCGATGATTAACAGGAGTGTATTAAAATTAACAGGAATCTGAGAATTTAAAGAAAGAAGAGAACTAATAGAAATCTGAGAATTAACAGGAATTTTGGATATCAACAAAGGGAGACGGGATACTCTTCTCATCGAAAGGAAAACTTCCGATTTTTTTTCCTGAAAAAAAAAACTTTTCCGATTTTAACAGAGAGAGGATCAGGATCTGACTTGTCATTTAGGAGGAGTTCACCGATCAGGATCTAGTATCTACGGACAAGCGCGGGAGAGATCAACTGATAGGAACTGCCACCGCTTCATAGAAATTTTACACTGTGAAAGTCTTTTTCTTGAAACTTCAACTCAAATTAAAAAAAACAAAAATGAAAGAATAAACAGTATTTTTATTTTATTTTACTGTTGACGGATGGAATAATGTATCTTTTATTGGAAATTGAGATTCAATGGCAGACTCTTGATGAATAACAGACTCACGGCATGCCGTAGATCTACCGTCTTCACCCGAAGAACGCCCGGTCATGATAGCCGTATTTGGTGCAATTTTCAGTCCAGATACGGCTATAATGACCGGGCGTTCTATTCGGGTGAAGACGGTAGTTGCAGATTGGCGGTACGGAGACTCGGGTCAAGACGGTACCTACCAGTCAGCAGAGTGGCGGGGAGGATGAACGTATAATAGAGTAGCAGCCTGAGCTTCACCTGAATCGGATTCCCGGTCATTATCGCGGTATCTAGACTGGAAATTAGGCCTGGTACAGATATAATAACCAGGCGCTCTATTTGGGTAAAAAGACGATACCTACCACTCAGCAGAATGGCGGAGAGGGTGAACGTATGAGCGTTGATGGGAGAGTATCGGGAAAGTGGAGGAGAGACGTTCGTGGGCTCGGGAAGCTGTTTGTCAGGGCATGCTCACCACACTAATTCTGGACGGAATTGCAGCCAAATGCAGACAGGTAGGGCCGTAAATGCGCTCAGATACATTTAAGATAGTGCTAGTGTGAGTACGCCCTCAAAGTTTAACCCGTATAATTCGACTTTCTCATTGTATGTTCGTCGATATTCGAAGGCCACGGAGTGGGAAAGCCTGGAGGGGGCCCGGGTTGTGGGCCCTTTTCTGTTCCTAGACTCAAAATCCCCTCCGCCTGTGATACTTCGGTACTGTCCTACTCCGGGTTGTTTGTTGAGGATTCCCGGCCTCAGTGCAATTTTCAAGTTTATAATATGAAGCCCTGAGGGCCCCTTCTGAAAAAAAAAAAAAAAAAAAAAAAAAAGAGCCTGGAGGCGGGAGGAGCTGATAAGCAACTCGAGAAAAAACGGCCCGTGGGAGCCTGCGATCACTGAGGAGTCAGGAGCAGGACCGCGGAGGAGAGGATGAACGAATGGAGGTTGATGGGAGAATGTCGGGACGACGGTGAAGGAGAGCGATGATGGATATTTACTACTTAAAGACGCGGAGGGACAAAACACTGCATCAGCGGCGAGACTGAGTGGAGTTTATTTTTATTTTTTATTTTTTATTTTTTTTAATTAAAACTGATCAGAACAGATACTACACTTGATTTTAGCCAAAAGGCCGAGAAAGGTATCTCAGTGGAATTTATGTTATAATAAACTGTGTTTTTTCAAAAAAAAAAGAAGAAAAAAGACTGCATCAGTTTGCCAGACGGGTGATGGGCTGCAAATGCAGCTACTTAAAAATGTATGCTTCTATCTATACTCACTGGGAACGAGGTCCGAATAGCAAAAGAGGATTGGATTTCACGCCTGAATGTGGACGTGTTTATGGAGAGGTGACGAAAATCGCGATTGATCCGTTTCTCTGCACCTGCCCATAAAACACATCTAAATTCAGACGTTTAATCCCATCTTTTTCCTAGTGCGACCCCTCCCCGGGGGAGGATAATAAATCCTACTAAGTACCCGTCGAGTCGTGCAATTCAACTTCAACTTGATGTCCAACTTCGCATTATTGTTCATTAAATAAATTAGTTGTCGTTTGCTCTCTTTATTAAGCACTCCATTAAATTCCATTTGTCTTCAATGTTGCCCCCTACTCCCTCCCCCCCCTTCCCCCCTCCCCCCTTTTCTTACACTCCCCGACCCCCTGAACAAAAGGTTCTCGACGACACTCTCTCACAGTGACTTCTCTCCGTTTCTTAGAGGCTCGTGTTTCCAACCAGTCACTGTGTCCTTTCGATATTAGAGAATGAAGAATTTGGGACGCACGCACACAGAAGGGATGGATTTGCAATTGCAGGGTGAGAGAGTTGAGCGTTCGTTAACAAGTGTGCGGTGTCTCTAGCGGACAAAGCAGAGTGGGGGCATGTTATAGAACATACTGGTAGCCATTCTGCAGTAGCAAAGCGTTGTCCCCTAAGCTCTTAAATGACGTCAAATGGGTGGAAAACACAGGGCCTGCCAGTGAGTCAAATCAATAGAGAGCATCGTGTGGTGGCAATTTGGCAAAGGGAACAATACATAGGATGCGACTGCAGTGCAAGAAGCTGATATAGTTGTGTACCATTTGTACACACAGATAGATAGATCATAGATAAATCATAAATAGACACACACACACACACAGAGACACAATGTTCTGTGTATGTGGTTTTTTTTTTTTTTTTTTTTTTTTTTTTTTTTTTTTTTTTTTTTTGTGTGTGTGTGTGTGTGTGCGCGCGCGCGTGCGTCCGTGCTCTTTCTTCTCATGCTCTTTTCTGTTTCCTTCTTTTTCTTCTCATGCTCTTTGCGGATGGTTGGTATCTCTCTGTTTCTTTACTGATGTCGCAGTTCCTTGTTGCGTTCCCTTTCTTCTTCTCTATCCCTGGGATTCCCTTTCTTCTTCTCTATCCCTGGGATGATAGGAGCATCCCTCAGATCGAGGTTAAGCTTTGTGACTACTTTCTATTGGTGGTCAGCAGCACTATCGGGTAGCTGGAAAACTGATCTACCATCTTCCTTCTCCGGAACAGAACGCCTGGTCAATAACGGTGTATCTAGACTGCATGTTGGTGCAAATACAGGCAGAAAGACGGCACGTTGTAATTCGGGTAAAAAGGGTAGCGTCCCACAAAGTACATGGGTAGCAACTTGCCTCAAAATAATCTGGAGGGATTGATTGCCCTTGCAAGTAGGAAGAGCGCCGAACGGCCCCTACATTTTGAATGTATAGGGACCAATTTCGAGTGCAGATACAGTCGAAGTGTTGGCATTTGCAGTTGGCGCGGTGAGGCCCTCAACCAGCAGTCTTCGACTCTTCGATGCACGACGACGGCCTTGCGATGTCAACGTGAAACTGACCGGCCCCAAATTCCCCAATCAGTTTTCAAAATTAGTTGATGTCATTCATTATATCATTCGTCGATCGTCGAGTAACTCGAGTTCCATCTGGATTCGAACTCAAGTCTGTATATTTGAACAGTCCATGACTCCATGGGTTTAGCAGCTGATCTACCTTCTTCCCCCGAATACAACGTACGGTCATTATAGCTGTATCTAGACTGAAAGATGCCTCAAATACAGCTGTAATGACCGTACGTTGTATTCGGGGGAAGAAGGTAGGCTTGTTGTCTTATACACATCTAGATGTGTATAAGAGACAGAACCACAACAGCGCTCTGAGTCTCTGACGCCGTCTTTTTCTTTTTCTTTTTCTTCTTCTTCTTTTTCTTTTTCTCTTTTTTTTTTGTCTTCTTCTTCTTCTTCTTCTCCTTTTTTTTTTTGTCTTCTTCTTCTTCTTCTTCTTCTTCTTCTCCTTTTTTTTTTTGTCTTCTTCTTCTTCTTCTTCTTCTTCTTCTTCTAATTTAGCAGAAGAGAAGAGGCTCTGCGGCACCTCCGTACGAGTCTATCTATCTATCAGGAGGGGGTTGGCGGGGGGGGTGAGGGGGACTCTGAGAGTCTGAGGCAATGGCTGGATTAACACCGCCGTATACTCCAACAGATTCAGAGCTGTCGGAGGACGGGATGCCATGGGTAAGCTCAATATCGACATTTGAATTTTATAAAGGAAAAATCGGAAATTACTCCGTTGACGTTTTCGTTTTGTTTTTTTTTCGAATTTTCATTTTTCGTTTTGTGGTCAAATTAAATTGTATCTGGTCAAATGGCGTCGTGCTGCTATTTGGCTGCCAACATGTACGTTTTGCGTTCAATCCCGCGCGGGCGAGGTACGACTAATAGCAAAGAGGATTCGATTGAATGCCTGAATCTCGACGTGTTTGCGGACAGGTGCAGAAAATCGCGATTGATCTCATCTGATTTTCTGCATCTCTGCTTGAAACACATCCAGATTCAGGCGCTCAAGTGCCTCGATCCTATCCTCTTTGGCAGTGGGACCTTGCTTCGGGTCATGGCGGCGGTTCTCTGTTACTACGGTAGTACTTACTTTTCTTCTTTCTTCCCCCTCTCCGCGCTCCTCCCCYCCCCCCCCCCTCCCCCCCCAAGATTCCTGTCTTTTCCTCGCAAAGGTATTCGCACAGATGATGTATTTAGACCACAAAACGGTTCCATCCATGTTTTTTTTATCAGGCTCTCGAGCTATTCGGTCTCTGGTGAAGTTCATGGGAATCATGGATCCCGCCGAAACATAAGGGCAAGTGGTAACCGATCCTCTGTGATTTCATTTCTGGTTGTCAACGTTAACGAACTATTTGAAATTTTGGACCATTTCTCGATTTACGCGTGTCATTCTTGCGCAGGGGCCATGCTAATGTTCTCTTTCTGTGTATCATTCCAAGTTTAACGGATGTCCCGAAGGACGAACGATCTATTTTTGTCACCACCGAACGGACTGGTGTCTTCCTTTTTTCTTTTTTTTTCGTTTCTACTCGCTGACGGATGCCGACCTGCATTCGAAATTCGAAATTCTATTCGAGTTCTGTGCAGAGCTATGCGAAGTTGCGAACTGATGAACTGGAACCTTTTCTCAAATTATTTATCAGTGTCAACCTTAATTTAGCAGGGGCCATGCTTAATCTTCTCAGACTTTGTATCGTTCCAACTTTTAGAGGG